ACTTGAATTTTTTTCCAAAACATCTTATATTGTGAAACAAAATAAAATGGCTAAAACATCATATAATATGAAACAGAGAGAGTATATAACAAAATATTACTCATGAAATTATCTTAAGAAATTGGTTTTTTTTTTTTTCACTAAAGTTTTAATATAATAACTAAAAACCGCAACAATAGTTTTATGTTTTGGAACATGTATTCACTTTTTTTTACGTAAAAATCTCAAAAGCACGATTAAATCCATGAATAGGGTTGATTAAAACCGAGTGATTTGTGATTGGAATGAGATCCATCTGGATGCAAGTGCTATCGATTGGGTTTAAGTATAACATCCCACCCACGATCAAGAACAGGATGAAGTAGATTTCATTTCTACTTGTCCATTCTCATCCACAATTCATCACCATCAACATGCATATAATATACACGTATATATCAACCACAAAGAAACAATATACATAAGAGTAATAATGTAACAATCATTAGGGCAAGATTCTACTCAATTACGACCAGCCGACAAAATGACCCAGATAAGCCCAATGCACACATGCTCATACATAAAACCAGAGATCAACCTCTAAAATCTTTTTCATAAAAATATAGAAACCGCATGAAATTTATTAAAATTCCTCAAAATTTGAAGGGTTAATATATAAGTTTGGCCAATAGATGATAAAGTATAATATTGGTCCACTACTCTATTATTTATCGACATTGTCTGGCTGAGGTCGATGTCACAATGAATCACGAGAGCTAAAGATTTATCTGCATGTATAGAAATTTGAGGTGGGACATGTAACGTACGTCGCCACCAACTCTTATATGTTTGTATTCATTTCTTTGGGGGTGTGCATGGAGGACCGAGTAAGAAACCAGTGTATGTGTAAGAGCACCCGTAACGTGGATATACTATCAGATTTCTTAGAGCATGTTTATCCATGATATTTGATGGGTATCAGCCCATGAAAATATTAAAAAAATTCATTTTGAGTTGAGACTGGGCTGAAACGGTTCAGTGGGTAGAGACTTCTGATACGGTTTCATTCGACATTGATTAAACAATTAATTAATTTAATACTAAAAAAATGCTTGTGATACTCATAGGGTTTTATTGATAAACATGCTCTTAAAAGACAAAAAATAATAATATTTTAATTTTGTAATTATATTTTAATTTTTTAATATAAATAGACCATTGATAAAGATGTATGTGTCTTTTGGTTTGTGATATCGTCTCTTGTGTAAGATTTTTACAGCTTTCTCTCTTATTTCTCTTAACTTTTTTTTTTTATTGTTAAGAGTTGTACTAAGAAACGCATGTTAATGGTGCTCTAAGGTATTCTAATGATGAATTATTCTCAATAACAATTTGTATATATATACATAGTTATGTATGGTGATGCAAAGTATAATTTTATTTTTAATAGTTTTTTAAGAAAATTATTGGAATACTAATTTATATTTTGAGATTATAATCTCTATACATATATAGTTATGAAAATATCTGCCAGTGTTTTTATTTTGTTTCTATAAACTACGTATACTATAAGAAAGCAAGACGAATTCTGACGGAAAAACTCTCGAAAATTATACAGTAATGGCAATATCTCTCTGAAATAAAGTAGTTTCTCGGAAATCCCACGGATTTTTCTGAGGAATATACTTCCATTAGAAATGTCCTCAGAAATTGAAAAAAAATTCGAGGAATTTTCGAGGACATTTTAACCGTTGTTTTCTTCCAAGGGATTTTAAAAGACATTTTAACCGGTTTTTTTCGAGGGATTTCCAACTCCGCAAATATAGCCGTTCGAACCTAGCCGTTGATGTATCCATTGGAATAGCCGTTGTAAATTAAAAATCCTCGGAAATCCCTGGAAAATCTCTCGAAAAGTTTGCCTATATATTCCAACCCATTCACATGTGTGGAAACCAAACAAAACTAGAAACAATACCAACAACTAGATTTTAACCCGCGGTACACCGCAGGATGATTTAATTTTAAAGTTAGTATAAACATATTTTGTAAATTGTATCTCCTGATAACATTTATTTATATTATAGTTTACAATTGTTATTAAGTAACGGTATACCACGAGTCCACGAGACAATTATTAATAAACTGAGGATTTAACCCATATTAAAGCGGTATATAAATATGGATTCAAATTTGTCCGCCATATAAATCCTTTCCGAAATATAACCCGTTCCATAATTTCTTAACCCGTCCCGTGATTTGTTTTTATTTTAAAATTTAATGATTATTTATTATATATAAAAGTTTACAAATCATATCATTCTCTAAGACATTTATATTTTAATAAACTGAAGATTTAATATGTATTAAAGCGGCATGTTAATGATATTTTAAAATTTTATAAATATTGTTATTAAGTAACATTATACCACGGGACAATTTTTGGTTTTATACATTCTTTTCTAAACGAAACTGATTTAATATGTCTAATATTAGTGGTATTAAAAAAAGGATTTAATCCATATTGAAGCGGCGGATTAATGATATTTTAATCTTTTTATTATTGTTGATTCAAAAACCCGTTCCGCCAAACACGTCTGGCCAAAAAACTCATTTATTTTATAAATGTTGATCTTATTTATGATATGATTCTGAATCATTGTCTAAATATTTTAATCGATGTAGAACGTTGAACACACATTTTCGTCAATTAGATAATATATGTCCGTTTTTAAAATTTCGAATCACAGTATATGCAGAAAAAAAATTGATTTTTTTAAATATGATAGGAGAAACAAATAAAACAAAGATGATAGGAGAATCATAATTCTAAATCTTAATCAAATCTTCTAAATATCTAAATTATTAAATATGGAATATCCGGTGTATGAGTTGGGTTAAATATAACCCGACCCAACAAATTTTTGTGAAGGATTTTTTGAAACGGATCGGATATCCAAATAACCCGAGAATATTTTTACCCATCCGTCACCAAAGTGTTGCAAAAATACTAGTATAGATAATGTCTTGTCTAGATCCTTATAATTATTTTCGTTCTTAGATGGACAACGGGATTTAAAACGCCATCAGCACTAATACAAATTTAAGATACAACATTTAAAAGCCTGAAATCGATAAACTAAAACAACATTGTTTTTCATTGCGTAATTAATTTTATTCGCCAAATGAATTAATGGACCCCCTTCTCTAGTTGATTCATCTGGACTCTAGCCTCTAGGAGTGTAGGAGATCATATATTGTTATTTCTTCAATTTGTGGACTATGGACCAAACAGTGAAGCATTTGAGTACGGTACAAAGACCCAACGTACAGTTTGTTTTATGGCCCATGTCATTGACCTATATATACAATTTAGCACAGCCCATTAAAAAGAAATAACCCATTAACCTGAAATTTCTGAATATTTGAACGTATTTTACAATGGTGCATAAGTTCACTTATTCAGTCAACTTAAAATGAGTTTGACGGAGTATGATGAGGTCACAATAAAAAACAAAATAATAGGAGAAGACTATTAGGACATAATGTCCCACATCGGAAGTTGGAAGGGATCCTAAGTAATATATAAGGGATATGAGCCACTCCACTCATTGCCAATTGGTTTTGAGTTGGAAGCCCATATTCTAATATGGTATCAGAGCCCGATCCACACATGTCCAACCCGATCCGACCCAAAGATGGTCCAATCATCGACAAGGCCCAAAATTGATGCCGTCGATCTAAGCCCGAACATTTCGAGATTAATGGCCAAAGAGCCATCATCTCGAGGAGGCGTATTAGGACATAATGTCCCACATCGGAAGTTGGAAGGGATCCTAAGTAATATATAAGGGATATGAGCCACTCCACTCATTGCCAATTGGTTTTGAGTTGGAAGCCCATATTCTAATAAAGACAACAGAGAATAGAGGAATATGTTTTCCTAGTTTAATAGAGAAGGCTATTTGACTATTTCTGTCCTCAATTAAGGAAATTAACAAGAAAGTTAAAACAAAAATCAAATACAATAAATATATTTTTCTTCATCAAAAAAATCCGAGAATTAAAATGCATGATCAGTAAGTATATTTTTTTGTATGTTTACATAAATTACATTGTAAACATTATTACTCATTTGGTAAATGGTAATCCATCACACAATATCATGTTTTTCCTTATTGTGTTAAATCTAGGAAGCGACATATTATAATACCTATAAATAGAAAATTATAATTGCGAAAAAAAAATATTATTATAATGTGAAACTAGGATTCAACCCGCGGTACGCCGCGGGTGAAGGTTTTTATTTGGGTTTTTATACTATATCTTTTAAATTGTATTAAGTAATTTTTTTAACAAAATAAATATAGGAATTTTTGTGTGGTTGATTAATTATTTGTTAGCAGAAATTATAATGTAGTCAACTAATATAAGACATTTTTAGTGGTTCTATTAGCAAAGTAAATGTGTTAATTTATATTGATTTAATAAGATGATTTGTAGGTATAGTAATTTAAGGCCAGACAATAAAACTCGTTATCTATATTCGGCCCGTTTCAAAATAAGGGTACCAGTGACCTTAAAGTCGAGTAATTATTATACTTTTATTGCCCGTGGGTAAGGATCAGGTATTGAATTTTTTACTACTTGTTCGGTTACTCAACACGTTATCTCTGAATTATTACCCGACCCGTAATATCTTTTTTATTAATATAATAGAATAAATCAGTATTTTATGTAGTCTATCGAATTTACAAACACACATATACATAATAAATAATTATATATATATATATATATATATATATATATATTATTTACAAACATAATGTAATCGAAGAAATTAATGGATAGAATTTTGAGCATTATTTATATATTTCAAGAATGAAGTAAAGTATAATTATGTACTTTAGAATAATTATTTTTTTGGAATACCAAGTTAAATATATGGGATTGTTTAGAATATTTCAAATATACTCGATTTTCAATTTTTTAAAAAAAGTATAAATATTAAATGGGCAAACAGTATTATTTAATCTAAGACTAAACGTCGGGCTTGATTTTACATTACATTGGAAAATAAGGCCTTGTGTAAATAAAGTAAATATCATTGGCGAATAATTTTTTTTTTTTATAAAAAGAATTGTAAACGACATCTTTTGTTCTTAGTTACTATCGAAAAAAGCAGTCTCTTGACGGCAAGAGACCCATATGTTGTTTAAATCCGAGCATCAAAAATCAAATCTTCGCCGATCTTCCTCGTCTGTTTGCTTATTCATATCTGAAAAACCCTATTTTTTCTTCACTGATCTGCAGAACTTCTGCAATTAACCACAAATTTCTACAAAAATCTACCGGATTCCAACTCTTTTGTTGTCATCATTGTTCATGATACGATATTACGATGTGTCGCCCGAAACTAATCAATCTTGCTGATAACGGGTTAGTAACTCAACGAATCAGTAATTCTATCTCTCTGTATGTATGTGCCTGATATACATGGTGCTATAGATTTTTATCGATTTTGGCTATAGAATCAATTATTTAATTGGAAATGATGTTAATTGATATGAAATCTATATTGTGTGAAATATACCTGATTCAATTGTATGAGTATGAATTGCAAATTGATTACAAACACTTGTTTTCAGATTTCTTGTAGGCGCTTTATAGATATAGTTATTAGCTAGTTAAGGTCATTTATCGATTTATGTAAGCATAAGATTAAATATTGCTAAACAATCTAACATGCGTGATTTCGTAAATGAAGTAAATGAATATGTTGCAATATGAAAGTGAAGAAACAAAGTCCTTACCTTTGCACGGTTAAGAAGAAAACTAAATCATTGGGAGTGAGATGTAGATGGTGCATGTCACCTACTCACCT